ATTAATCTGATCTCTATGAACGTGCCGCCTTAATCTGATATTTTCACGCTTCAATCTTCCAATTAAATTTCGGTCCATACCAACGTGTCGCCTTTAAAATATCATTTTTTTCATTCACTTGCTTCAATATTTATTAGAATTAGAATTGTATCCATAATTATCATTACATAATTGTCATAAATCTTTCCATTAAATTTCAATCCACATCCACGTGCTACAAATATTTTTTTATAAAATCATATTCACTACCACCATTAAATGTTCACGTCATTCACATAATTCAGAAAAAAAAGAGATAATTTTCAGAACACATCGATAATATAATGTCGCCAGTCTGGGATACACTCGATTTTGTGAATAGGACAAATAAACTTTTTTTGAAACCAATCACCAACGGGAGAGCTGGAACCATAATTTTTAAATCCGGCCCAAAAATCGACCCGGGCATGTCTCCGGGTCACCGGGTCAATTGTTGAACTGCATAATTAATTTTAAAATTTTTAAAACTATATATATAGTATTATTGACATATAAATATACATAAAAACAACAAAAATAAATGTTTTGTATACAAAATTTGTACATTTAAGTGTTAATAATATTGAATCTCACAATAAATATTTACTATATCATTATATAAACATAATTTTTATTTTTTATATAAAAAAAAATAAAAAAATTTCTATAAAACCGGGTCAATGACCCGGGTCAACCGGGTCAATGCCGGGTTGGTCGGGTTTGGTCGGGTCTATTATTACCCGGTCCAAATAGTCCACCCAGACCAGTTTCGGCTACAGGTCCCGGGTCGACCTGCCGGGCCGGTCCGGGTCACAAAACAATGGCTGGAACACATTCCATGTATTGTTTCATGATGAACAGGTAAAAAATTTCATTTGAAATTTATATTGTAGGGTTCATTCATTAAAGGCATAATCCGTTCTAAACATATGAGAGCATTTCGAGGTTACTGAACGAAGGCGAGGTGTATGCAATCAGCAATTATGTTGTTGAAATGCATGTCGCGGGAAGAAAGATATCATGACCAACATATGGAAACTTGTGCTTCATGGAAGAAGTCGTGTTATCAAATATGGCATGTTTTTCCCTAAAACTGGTGATATTTTACCTTCACATTAACAAGGAGCAAGAGATATTTATGATATTTAGGGTGTGATTATTATGAATTTTATTTTCATTCCATGTCGTTCAATATGGAATTTTGTAAGAAATTTTAGTGTTATTATATTTGTTATCGTTATAAAATGTCGCTGAATATATTTGTTTTCATTATTCAATTTCGCAAGAATGTGAAAATTCGACCATTTTATTTTTTACTTCTATTGTATATTAGTTTAAAATTTGTAGAATGCCATTGTATAAGATATAAATTAATACAAATTTTAACAAATATTTTAAATATAATATTATATAAATAAATATTTTTCAAAATTAATATTAACTGAAGCAAGTACATTTAATCGTTTATATTCCGTGATTTTTCAATAATTTATCATAATGGATTACATTCATAAATATTTATTTGATTACAATATTTATATTAATTTATGGTATATAATAATAAATGTTGATCTTAATGATTAAAGGATAAATATTATAACGCCACAATTCTATCCTAACAAACAATAATTTGTGGACAAGCCACAATTCCACATTTGTGGATAAGCCACAATTTCACTCATGATAAAATGTTAAATATTTCTTTTTACGTCAATATGATCAAACAACATTTTTATAAAATGGTTGAATAAATTTTGCTTAAATTAATATTATAATAAGTTATATATTAATCTCTAATCTGCATATAAGGCATGACTTTAAATCGCACGTGGTAGTTCTCTATTCATGCAAAATCAGAAACTGAATTCATAATTAATGGTGTTGAGATAATATTGGAACAATAATATATGGATAACTCAATACTTAAATTTATAAAAATAGTTTGTTTGTGGTTAAATTAATATTATAATAATTTATATATTAATCTGTAATCTGCGGATAATTCATGACTTAAAATCGCACGTGGTAGTTGTCTCCATTGATGCAAAATCAAAATTCATAATTAATGGTGTGGAAATAATATTGGAACAGTAATACATGGATAACCAAATAGTTAAAATTGCACGTTGTAGTTTAATTATTAAATTAAAATTTAATGATTTAGAGATAATAATTAATGGTGTAAAGATAATATAGGAACAATAATCTGTGGATAAGTGATGATTTAAAATCGCACGGGGTAGTTCTTTATTAATGCAAAATCACAAACTGAATTCATAATTAATGGTGTAGAGATAATATTTAAACAATAATATATTGATAACTCATTCTTTAAAATTGCACGTGGTAGTTAATTCGCATGGTATGTATTAGTTGAGATATATATTGACAACGAAATATCTCCACTTCTTAACTAACTTGCACTTATCTTATCATCATACAAGAGTTTGAATTTATTGAAACTCATATTTTAAATTAATCTAATATGGTTTTAATATCGGGGGAGTCGAATAACGAGTGTGCATTTATAAACATACCAGAAGACATTTTGCTTCAGCCATCTGATGATCCTATTGCTCAAATCGGTGAAAGTACATATCCAATGTATAAGGAGGCGCCTGACAATCCAAGTTATTTGAAGGATAGAGCTATATTAGCGCCGACGTTGGATGTGGTCGAGTCTCTATCAATGAGTACATGACATCATTGAATTTGTTGGATGGTCGTATGTACTTGAGCTCTGATAGTACGTGCAAATCGGATTCTAATAATGAGTTTTTTGTCTGATTTCCATACGCCTGAGTTTTTGAACAGTATCAAGTGTTCCAGAATACCGAACCATGAGTTATATTTGAAGATTGGAACTCCAGTCATGTTGTTGCGGAACATGGATCACTTTATGGGTTTGTGTAATGTGACACGATTGGTTGTGACAAAACTATCCACTCATGTTCTTTAGTGTAAGATACTCACAGGATATATTGCTGGTGATACGGTGTTGATTCCAAGAATGACTATAACTCCTTCCGATGTTAGAATTCCTTTCAAGTTCCAGCGGCGGCAATTTTCCATTATGGTTTCTTACGTCATGACTATAAACAAGAGCAAGGGACAATCCTTATCTAATGTTGGCTTATTTCTTAAGAAACCAGTGTACAGTCATGGTCAATTTTATGTTGTTGTCTCCCGTGCCATTAACCGAAAGGGTTTGAAAATCTTAATTTGTGGCAAAGATGATGTGCCAAAGAATCAAACCAATAATGTTGTATATGAGGAAGTGTTCAATAATATATGATCTTTTAAGTTTAATTATATGTTTATATGTCTATTCTTATGATCATGATCATTTTGGTATTACACAATTTATATACAAAATATAATTGTAAAAAGCTCACAAGTGATAATATCCCCGTGCATCGCACGGGTGATTACTAGTATATATATATATATATATATATATATATATATATATATATATATGAGATTTTATGTATTTATAATTTAAGTTCAATAACTGTGATTTATAAAAAAATAAGTATTTTGGTTGAAAAATTGTAACTTTGCAACATATTGCATAACATTTTTGTTGATGAAAATTTGTATACCATTTTTGTTGATGAAAGTTTTACAAATGAATATTTTTAAGAAATACAATGAAGGTAAAAATATGTGATTACACACAAAAAAATGTAAAAACCAACATAAAAAAAAATATAATAATCCAACTAAATACACAATTTTCTAAATCACTAAATTTATTTACAATTAAGAGAATGAAAGAGTAAACATTATAAATATTTTCAAAAACATGTATAGAATGTAAACTATAAGGATTGTTGGTTCATTTTTCAATAAATAAATAATACTATTAATTTAAATTAAAATATCATAGAAAATAATTTTTAATGATTAATATATTATAAATATTTTTTGCATTTTATATATATTTTATATTTTCTTTTATTATAATATATATATATATATATATATATATATATATATATTGATTTTAAAAAAAATCAGGGGCCCCTGAGCCCCTTATGGCTCCGTCCCTGTCTTTTATTCTTTTATATGTTTTGTTAATTTTCTCTTATTGCTTGAATATACAAAATGTTGTTTCATGAATGCACACTTCAATTATATGAGTGACAGTCAATAAAAGAGTTAAGTAAAGTGAACTCATTTTCATATGAATTTCAATTTAGGTTATCTATTTAACTTGGTTAAATATAAAATGAAAATTAATACTTTCCAATTAAAAAATAATATGAATTTCAATTTAATTATCTATTTAACTTGGTTAAATATAAAATGAAAATTAATACTTTCCAATTAAAAAATAATATAATTATAACTGAGTATTATGAACTCCGCTCAACTTACTTATATATTTAAGTAAAGGAAAGTTTAGAGCTTTGACTGCTTATTTTTTTTTTCTTTGAATAAAACTGATTTTCTCCTTTATTTTCATTAATTTATGATTCTTAAGAAATTTCTCAAATCTCATTAATAAAATTTAGCTAAATTTTTATTTTAAATTTCACACTTTTATAATTATGTTGAGTTCAATATTTTTTTTAACTTATAAAAAATGAAAACAACCAAAGACAACATTTAGATCGTCATATTTTTTTAATATAAAAACGTATATTTATATTATAAAATCTCATATTTTTTATTAATGGAGTTTTTTAGAGTGATATTTAGTTTGAAATTATGCCTATGTAATGAAAAAGTATGACTAATTAACCAGATATATGATTTCCGTTAGAGATATATGATTTGTTTATATTGATTTGTACAGTATGACGAAAGTATATGTCAATGTTATTTAGATGGTAATGACTGGTTTCATATTTCTCTCTTTACTTACCAATACAAAAATCCCTTGCAACCTGAAAACTGAGTTATGAAATCACATCAAATAAAAATAACAATCAACACTTCACTTGACATTTAACAAAAAAAAAAATGTTCTTCACCTAAACAAAACCACCAAAATCCTTACACGAACACTGCCCTTGTGAGAACTGGTGCAGCCTCTTACTATCTCGAACAACAATAGTTCTGCACATCAAAACCGATACCGTCTTCATAAAACTATGGCAATCCCTACACATTCCAATTTTCTTCACCACCCGAACTTCAGCATTGCCCGACGTGTTGAGTAGCCCAAATGCAACCGCCATCCTCTCACTGTGGCCCACCATCTCCGAGCCCAACTCGCCCTCATACCCAAGATCCCTGGCCCGAACAACCAAATCCTCTAAAAATTTCCCCACCTCATCCCCTTCATGTTTCTTATCTCCAGATTTGAACGCGTAAACCTTATCCCTAATGCTCGTCCAGCTCCAATCCGCAACTTTATCCACCTTCTGTTCTTTCATCATTTTACGAACCCGTGCAACATCCTCCCACCTGCGCGCCGATAGGTACATGTTCAACAGCTGAAAGTACATCTCTGGATCTTTCGGTTTTAACTCGAGCAGCTTTTCAGCTGCGTAAAACGCTGAATCCATTTTCCCTTGAACTCTGCACCCGGCAATCAAAATCGACCATACAAACTCGTTCGGTGTTGTATCAGATTTCTCAATGAACTCAAAAGCCTCGTCAATTCGACCCAACCGAACAAACATGTCGACCATGCTCCCCAGGTGGCCCACCACGGGCCTGATTTTGTACGTGTTCTGCATCATTTCGTAATAGGTCAAAGCCCGGTCAACTAGTCCCAATTGGCTACAGGCAGAGAGCACGCCCACGAACGTGACCTTGTTAGGCCGGACCCCAACGAACCTCATGTCGTCAAAAAGGTCCAATGCCTGCAGTGAGTAGCCATGCTGTACGAGCGCATTTATCATTGTAGTCCACGAGATTAAAGTTCGTCCGGGCATCTCTGTAAAAGCTCGGCACGCTCGTACAATACTCCCGCACTTATTGTACATGTTGACTAGGGCAGTCCCCACCACCATTTCGGATAATATTCCGGTCTTGATTATTTGTGCGTGAACCTGCTCGCCTTGGTCGAGGGCCACCAAACTACTACAAATCGTTAACATGCTCGAGTAAGTATAGAAATCGGGCTTCAGGCCCGACCGGATCATCCGCTGGAAAATCTTGAGGGCCTCGACCCCGCATAAGTAGGCCAAAACACGATCCTCCATGAGTAGGCTCATGTCACCATAGCCTGCAATCATAGCATTCCACGTGACCAAACCCAAATCACTCATTTCATCGAATATCTTCCTCGCCCAGCTCACAAACCGATTTTTCAAGTACAGATACATGACAGCTGTCATCACGGGTATATCTGACCCGTACCCGAGCTTCATGGTCAACCCGTGAACCTGAGTTCCCAAATCAAGGGCCTGGGCCGTGCAGCACAAACTCAGGACGCTCGTTAAAGTGATCTCGTTAGGTAAAACTCCCATTTCTAGCATCTGGATAAATGTGTCCAAACCCATGGCTGAATTCCCATTTTCCGCACAAGCGGTTATAAGAGCAGTACACAAGATCACATTCTTTTCTTTGGTTCTCGTGAACATACTAAGCGCCATATCCAAACTGCGGCACTTTGTATACAAACGGTAAAGCACGTTCAAGATGCTCTCGTCGTGCTCAAGGCCGTACTTTATTGCATAAGCATGAATCTGCTTTCCGAGCCCGATATCATACAAGGACAAGCAGGCATTTAAAATAGTCCCTAAAGTGTAATTTGTGGGGGAGACCCCGACCTCCAACATCTCCATAAACACGGGAATGGCGGACTTGGGCTGGGAATTGTGGACATAGCCCGTCATCAACGTGGTCCATGTGACCACGTTTCTGTTAGGCAAAGTGTCGAACACCTTTCGGGCGGCAGCCATCGACCCACGCTTGGCATACACATTGATGAGCAGGGTCATGAGGAAATAGTCCTGCGAAAATCCGGTTTTCATCATGTGAGCGTGTAATGGCTCTACCCTTGAAGCTGAATTAGGCTCTAAACATTCTTGCAAGATGGGAACGTAACAGGAGGATATGGGTTTTTGGGCACCGGCTTCTAGCATGGAGGTAAGCGCATTGCTGAATTCCGAACCCAATGAACCAGAATGTTTCTGGCCATAATTTTTCTGCAATTGATAAATTAACATACGCATTACCATACCAAATAGGAGGTGAAATTTTGAGTAGTAGAAGTGCAGAAAAGTTTTTTTTTTCTTTTTTTTTTTTT